TGAAACGTGAAATCATTGGCGATAAGTACCGTGTGTTAATAGTGCCACATTTGTATCGGAATATTGCTGAAAACTTATAAAGTTTTAACACTCAATCAATTGTATAAACGTATGATTTTTTGGAAATATATATCATGGAATTAATAAATGCATAAAATCAATAAACAAATTGATATATTCTATTTATATTTATTTAGTAATGAATACATATATCCTCCAAAGTATACATATAATAGCTATGCGTAATATTTATTGCATATCTTATACCTATTTTTGTACATTATTTACATTATTTACATTATTTACATTATTTACATGGGCAGTTTTTTCCTTTTCTTGTGCCGGTTTCACTATATTCGGATCTATATTTTTTTTTGCACGGACAAGTTTCACGCGTTTTCGAAATTCTCTTTCCTTCTTTTTTGCTTCGTTATTTGCATAATTAGATTTCTTACACAGGATTTTCGCTCTCGTGATAAGATAGTAATTGATGACTGTTCGAGTTAAAGTTTCTTTATGTGTACTACATCCAACGAAGGTGATACTTTCTGATAAAATATTTTGAGAAATGTGCTGAAATGTGTAGTAGTTTAATTTTTCGAAACCAACCGTTTGTAAAATTGCGTGTTCAAGAGCCGAAAGTAAATTAACTAAAGAATTTGAGGGGTATTTAAGATAACCTTTAGTAAGCAAATTTATCATTTCATCTCGTCGCAAATTCCCTTCTTTTTTTGTTACCTACAAGACACACTCTGAACATGACGTCCATCGTTCTACTTTCCTGGAAATGAATCCTGCAAAATACGTTTGCACGTATTCGTTCACATCAGATATATAATCATAGTCATGTGTTTGTTTTGCATCCTGAGTAGATGTCTGCGCTCCACGTGTAATTATTTCGTCGAGTACCTGCTTCCAATTATCCTTATTCTCATTCCTCGGTATATTTTTCATCGACAATAAACTGTCGAAAATTTCGATGCCTTCAACATTTGAGCCCTTGGGAGGCCGGACAAGCGAATAGAAGCTCAGAAGTCTATAAATTTGTATAAATAGCAGGGAATCAGGTGTATCAGTGGATCCGCAGCATCCTCTAATCATTCCGAACATTCCCTGTGCAAAAGTAAACAATACCACTATAAACTGTGTGTTAATAATAATTATTATCAAATAAATCGTATCGTACCTCAAGAGAATCTTGATTCAGTCTTGATGTCATAAGAAAATTAAATCCACATTTCATAGTGAGGAAATCCATCAATTCGATTGTTGTCCGAAGTGTAATATGAAAACCGTAATATGTACTTTCTGACATAAATTTTTTTTTCATCTCACATCCTTTAGTTGCAGCAATTTTCTTCCATTCGCATAAATAGTTTTGAAACTCCAGTATGCTCTGTTATGTAATAATAATTTAACATTAAATCTCTTAATTTTGTTGCGAAAAAATGACATTAACAAAAGTATGCATACATTGTAACTCGCAGAGTCTTTTTTCAATGCATTTTCCGAGCTGCGGGACGTCATTGCTTTTATTAGATTGTTAATTCGATGTATAAATATAATTGTCGCTTCACAATCTTTTAAGTTATCATCGAATTCGCTGTACATTTTCATCGCGACAGCAACGTTTGGAGAAAACAGCTGAAACAATAATTTACAAGAGCTCTGTAGTTGCAATTTGTTTGGAAAAAAAAATTATCATATCAGACTATTTACTTACATCCAAGGCCATCCCTACATTCATTTTTTGATAATACTGGGGATTCAAATGATCGTGGGTGAGTTTGTGTGCAATTTTTAATCCTAGATGTCTGTCCCCACCATCGTTCCTAATTACCGCTCGGAAATGTTTAAGTTTTACTATACCATCCGGAGTCTGTAAATTAAAAAAAATAAAGTACATAAAAGTACAAATGCAGACAATGAAGCATAAATAAACTTACGTGGGTCTCTTCATTTGACACGAGGAAATTCCTAAAATTTTTAAGGAGATGACTAAAGTCGGAGCAAAACCATAGTCTTCGTGTCTCTATAGGGTCATCGTTGTCATCAGAACTTCCGCTGCAACCATTGCTAGAAGCACACGGGTGCACGCAACTAGCTTCTAAGGTCAAAACATCGAGGCCAAAAAGTTTCCACATTAACCTATTCCACGTCGCTCCATCGGAAGTCACTACATCGACGTAAAACCCACTTTTTTCTAATAAGATGATACACTCCATCGTCAAATGTCTAAGAGAAGCACTTGGCGCACATCCTTTACTAAGGAAGGCAGCGATACTTTGTATCCACTGCCCTCTAAATGGCTGAAATAAAAAGACAAGTGCTTGATCAGCACGAGCATTTTTCTGATTTTCCGGGGTGTGCTGATCCAAGTCAACGAATCCCAAGTTGGTAAGGTCGTGCTCCATGAATGCCACACTTTCGCTTAACTTCATCTCATCATGTACCAGCGTTCCTGAAAAACAAAAACCATTGTAAAGCATCTTAACTTGACGTTATTAAGAATGTATTACTTACCTCTTCTTT